TATTATTCTTAATACTAATCTATGTATCTACAATAAATGTATGCAATACAATAACATTACCACACCATACGTCCACACATGTATCGTATTTCGTTTTATAAAGGCGTACAATTCACGTTCAGCAGTTTTGTTGGTTTTAATATTATAGAGTGAATTTACCGATATAATTAAACTAAAAGGTAACAACATTTTTTGGAGTTTGTTGGTAATTTTTTTCCGATGTTTTAGGTRATGCTACTCTCTCAAAATTCAAATATCGAAAAATCGCTTCCTATACCTACATCATTAAAATTTCTTTTACCTCCCTTTTRAGTTAAATAACAATAATAGATAAATTCACACGAATATTATTAAAACTATAACGAAACTAAATGAAGCTATAAACTGAAGCCTCTTGAAAGTGGAAAAAACGCATTCGAATGAGACGTGCCATCTTATTTTCAGCGATTTTATTGTCCAGTGTAGTTTATCATACGATGGTATTACGAAATAATAATTTATTGATATTATATCATCGTATGTCCGAACGAGACTATAGACGCGTGTGTGGCAATTTTTATTAATAATTGTTGCCGAATTCGGTTTCACCGACGCAGCCGACCTTCGTGACTCGGGATTGCTGTCGATCTGTCTATTGATTTATTATTTATTTATTAAAATAATAATGGTTATCAACGCTACACACAATAATATATATATATGAATATTTATATAATTAATAACGATGTTATATTTTTATGTTGCATAGATATACAGACAACGTTGTCGGACCACTGTTGAGTGCGCAAATGTACAACCCGGAATTCGATTGGACGGCTTCCATCAACACACAAGACAACAAAGTGGCGGAAGTSATCGATAAGCTCAGGCACATCAGACAAGTGAGTAGTGCGATATATACTCACTTCGGTGTACATGATATAATATTATAATGATGTAGAAGATGCATTGGTCGTGTGTTATTCTCTTGACGATCAAATAAATTAAATACGAGGGAGGGATAGRAGGAAAATATTGTGTACTATTATTATTATTATCATAATATGTATTAGTCGGATGATAGATCGTTTAAAACCATTAACCGAGTGATAAACGTGATTTATTGACGCCGTACATGTTGATATTGTATAGGAAGCTTGTTGCGGGATAACGCCAATTAACGCACATAATATAATATAATAATAAATAATAACATCAATAACACAATATAGGTGGAATATAATAATAACATTATATTGARTTAGCTTGCCTTAAGTTTATGGCGACTGATATGCGCGGGCTTGAAGACAAAAAGTTAATTGTTTGTTCTAACTCTGATTCGGTTCTAGAAATTAATACGCTTTTTCAGCAGTAAGAAGATAAAAAAAAAAAATTTAAAAATTACCGATCATTAACGCTTAATGGTACTCGAGTTATTCCTCCTATATCTGGTGGAAATATATGATATAAGCTTTTTATTATATTGTTAAGAGGATGCTACACCCGCATGTGTTGTATCTGTCTTACCACGCGTACTATATAACAAATTTTCGTTCACTAGATTCAATAGTGTGCTATTAGTTTTGATATTAGAGTGAATTGACCCATTATCAAACTTTTAGGTAAGAACATTATCTGTGTTCTCATGTTGGTTTTTTACAATATTTTAATTTTTAATTGAGTTATGAGCATGTTAAGTGTGGATATTTGAAAATTTACATAACTCATTTAAAAATTAAAATATCGTAAAAAAACCAACATGAGAACACAGATAATATTCTTACCTAAAAGTTTGATAATGGGTCAATTCAGTCTAATATCAAAACTCATAGCACACTGTTGAATCTAGTGAACGAAAATTTGCTACGTAGTATACGCGTGTAAGACAGAGACAACACATGCGGGTGTAGCGTCCTCTTAACATATCTTCAATACAAAAATATAGACTATTAGAGTATGCGGAAGTAAGCCTCTCGCTAACCACATCGACCTGCTTCTATACCTRCCACTATAAACTCTGCTCAGCACAATAAATCTGCGCATCTTCACTCGACACCACACCTTTTTGACGAAAACCGTTTTTCACTATAATAGGTGTCACGTAGAGACGCCACGGCGGCATGCTTACTTGCCGGACAGAGTATTATATAATAGCACCGTTAAAAGTGATCGAATGAAAAAAGTTCTTGATTTGGGAAAACATTACAAGAAATAATATGCAAAAGRTTAAAAAAATATGCGTGCCTGAATATCTAAATGTATAATTGATTAGAGTAAAATTATAAGGAATGTACGCACGAATATTTTTTTTAAAAGAGGAGATGGACTCCCCCTCCCCTCAATTCATGGTCTGTCGAACGATATTTTTYATTTTTTATCTAACGATTTCCAGACGGTGTTGAATCAATTGAGTTCGAGTCCACAGTCAGACTCGCTCATGGCCGACGAGGCTGAAGGGTCTGGCRAAGGCAGTGGCGCTGGCAGGGGAAGTAACTCCGGCTGGGACGACGACGACGACAACGCAGACTACTCATCATCGGGTGACGGTTCCGGCGAAAATCCGATCACAACTCAGTCGCCTAACTCCGACGATTCACAATGTAAGTATCGTTTTTTTCCACTATATATTACGTATGTACATCAATACATAACTACTTTTATTKTCAAAAAAACAAATAATTAAAGCTATAGTAGACATTTCAAAATAACTGGCACCAAACTATATGTATCGTGAAATTACACCATCTTATACGCTTAAAATCTTCCAATTAATCGATTTGAAAAATACATTTTACAACGGCAATCACAATATCCAGAAGAATTAACATTTTTAGCAATCACAAATCAAGCATCATATTTCAGCCATTATAACTGTGAATTATATTTAATCATTTTTCATGATTGTTGTTAGTTTATCTCTATAAATTCTATTTTTACAATATAAAATAATTTTAATATTTAATCGTGTTTCCACCTATCAAATAGAATAGATACTGCATTATAAATTGTAATTTGGTACTCTTGGACTTCCAAACAAGTTTTTTTAGTGAGGCTCAGTAATCAAACATACAAATAACTAAATGATAAAAGCTTATCATCGCACGGTGTATATGAAAATTTATTATTATTATGCAATCATTAGCGATAGTTAAATATTTAAACGGCCATGCACACGTGCGTTATAACAATAATAACACATCATGATTTTGATAGGTGCATCATGACAATAATTGTTTTATTCGATGTTTTAATGTTTTAATTTTTTTTTCAGTCAAAAC